GAAATCAGCCATCAGTATCCATGCCACAGTCTGAATATTGGGCTGCCTTGAAATTTCCTGTCTGCCACGTTTAAATTCAGCCTCACACAAAGTCTTAGGATGTGAGCAAAATATAGGTAAGTTCTTTGCCAGAATGTAATATGGGTGGCCTGCAATCCAGTTTCCAGTAGAGTCCTTATTCCCACTGGAACCTCATAAGCCTGGCCTTTACTGTGCACTTTCCTATCACCATTCTGGCTAGAATCATCACTCTAGCCAGATAAACAAAATTGCACATCAAGTTCTGCTTGCATTTTAGGGTTTCTCTGTGCTGTATATCCAAACTTTTTCAAGCTCCTTCCACAAACCAGTTCCAAAAGCTTCCAAATCACGTGATCTGTCACTTTTTTTGGTAGTCAGTGTTCAATTTCCTGTATCTGGAAAAAAACATCTGACATCTGCTATTGATTGACTGATTATCGTTTTGAAACAGGGTCTTACTGTGTAGTTGAGGCTGGACTTGACCTTACTTTGTAACACAGGCTGGTCTCAAACTTAAAACAATCCTCATGCCTCAACCTATAGAGTACTAGGACCCAGTCAGAAACACTGTGGTGCAGGGGCATAGCAAAATAAAAGTTGTTCAACCTGTAGCAGCCAGGAAGTTCAAAGAGAAGAGAGAATATTCTCTATACCTGGTCACGTTTCCATGACCTCATCTCCTTTCTCCAGAACCCACCTCTGCATTTTAGACCTGAACCATAACACCAACATATATACATAGAAATATAATTGAATTTTGCATATGGATGTTAGCATCCTATTGGAATTTTTCTTTCTAAAAAAACTTTTTATTTTGTCTTTTTCCTTTTTATCGGTACTGGGGATCAAACTCATGCCTGCCTGCTTGCAAGGCAGGCGCTTGTGCCGCTGACCTAAACCTCCAGCCCCTCTTTTTAAAGTTTTTAAACCAGGGTCTAAGTTGGTAAACTGCCCAAGCTAAACATGAATTTGTGGTCCTCCTGCCTCAGCCTCCCAGAATGTTGGAGTTAAAGGTATGTGCTTGACTCATATCAACAATTTTGAAGTGTGCAACTTGATGACATTAAATGGATTCACAATGTGTATTTTTTTCGTGGGTTTTTTTTTTTTTTTTTTTTGAGAGGTTCTAACTAAGTTCTGACGGATCTTACACTTATTAGATAGCCCAAGTTAATCTCAAACTCCTGGCAGTCCTCATACCTCAGCACCCTGAGTGCTGGAATTATAGGCATGCACCACTGTGTCTGGTTTAGAATTTTTTTTTTTTTTTTTATCGGTACCGGGGATCGAACTCATATCCACACACTTGCAAGGCAGGCGCTTATGCCGCTGAGCTAAATATCCAGGCCCTGGTTTAGAATTTTTAGAAAGTTATTGGTACATTTTTGACATACATAATGATCACATGCACAGGAAAGTTGTACAGAATATACTTTGATTTTTTTTTTTTTTTTTGTCTTTTTCCTTTTTATCGGTACTGGGGATGAAACTCACGACCGCCTGCTTGCAAGTCAGGCACTTATGCCACTGAGCTAAATCCCCAGCCCCTATACTTTGATTCTTTCATTCCCCATTTCCCATCCATCCCTTCAACCTTTCTTTCCATTTACAAAAGACTTGTTTTCATTTTTTCTTGTGCTCATTTTTCCTTTTCCCTTCATTCCCTTCTGCCCTCCCCTCCCTTGTTCTCCTTCCTATTTGAATATTTTCTGCCTATTGTCCAATATCTATCATCTATTTTGGTCTTTACCCTGTCAGATTCTCATACGAGGTGTTTTCACATTTGTAATTTGATTCGACTAATGTGTGAAGAGGCAGAACAGTTAAAAATTTCATATTGTCCTTTTTCCTGATGAGTACCAGGTATTTCTGCTGCATCCTTAGTGCTTATGGCAGTGCCTACCATGGAGTAGAGCTCATCCTTCACTTGCAGAACAGAGGAATGAAAATCAGGACAACAGAGATTGTAAACTGGTGATTTATAGCTGACAATGACATTCCATGTGGCCATGCAAGTTTTGCAGTTGAAAGGCACCATTTAAAAATGAGGTTTTCTTTTTTTTTTTTTTTATAATTTAGATAACTTGCCTTCTAATAACATCAGTTTCACTCTGTGAAGTGCGTTTTGTTTGGTTGGTTTCTTGTGGAGGTGGTGGTAATCAAACAGAACCTTGAGCATGTGAGGTAAGCAAGTACTCTACCACTAACTATAATCCCAGCCCCAATTACTTTTTTTTAACATCTATATTGGTTTTTTTTTTTTTTTTTTTTTTTGTCTTTTTCGTTTTTATTGGTACCAGGGATCGAACTCACGACTGCCTGCTTGCAAGGCAGGCGCTTATGCCGCTGAGCTAAATCCCCAACCCCTAACATCTATATTGTTTTATAATCATCAGAAGAATCTTACACTGTGTGTGCTATTATTATCTCTAGTTTATAGATCAACAAAGGCACAGTGACTGACAGAATCACGCAGCTGGTGAGTAGTAGTAGTACTACTACTACCACAGTTCACTGTTAGAGCTGCTGCTCTAACCCTCTTTGTACTGTGTTTTCTTGGAAACTAGGTCAGAGCTAGTAACCTGCAGTTCACTTTTTTTTTATTTTTAAAGAGAATAAAACAAAATAGAACAAAGCCAATCAAAACATCAGTGTAAAAGATACAGGACTTCAATAGGAAATCAACGGCGGTTACCGTAATTCCTCCTATTGTCTTCAAAATAGCTGCAGATATCTTCAGACACAGTAAAAAAACCAAAACAATAGAATACAACCAATAAAAATGAAACAATGAATGCAGTAAAGGACTTTAAAACAAGATTATAGTAAATCCAAAATGGAAAGCATAATATATCTTGTTATCTTTGAAATAGTTGCCCATGCCATCAGATCCAACAAAATCAAAACAAAACAACAAAACCCAGCTCAACAATGAAGATGATACAGGACTTCAAGACAATAGGAAATCAACAGTGGCCATCACCCTCAGAAGGAGATCCCCATAGATGCTACACTGAGTATTGCCATCTGAATAAATGATCAGACCACCAGTTTAGAGCTGCAAAGTCAGTGAAACACTAAACACTACAAGCATGAAATTGTATTTTACCTCAATAGTTATCATTGCAGTCTATTTTTTTCTGGATCAGCTGATCACTTTCTATGGAGGGGGAGTTGGCTTTTCTTGTTTCCCAGCGTGAGTGCTGGAAGGGACTGGCATCTGGCTCTCCCCCGAGTGGCCCACACATGGTACTGATTTGCAGGGAGGCCCTCCTTCTTGGTGACTTTTTGTTCTCTTCTCCCATAGTCCTTGGTTTTTGTTTGTTTTCTCTTGAACTGGCAGCTTTACTTTATAGGTTCCTGTCTAGTGGGAATATTACGTGATCTGTTCTGTCTACACTAAATGACTTGTCCAAAGTCACACTGTCAGCAAAGTGCTGAACTCAGGTACTCTGATTTATGGATAATTGCACTAGAACTTTAAATACAACTGTATGCAGGTATGTGTATCCTTAAGAAGACACACATGTAGGCTCCTTGTTCCTTGTAAAAAGCTCTAAGGCCAGGGATTTAGCTCAGTGGCATAAGCACCTGCCTGGCAAGTGCAAGGTTTTAAGTTTGATCCCCAGTACAGAAGGGGAAAAAAAGCTATAACCCAATGCAATAATTTCCAAGTTCAATCCTTTGCTTTCAGTGGTATATTTTTTCCTTGAATTTTATCATTTGTTTCTGTGCAAATGACTGCAATTATTTCTTCTGATTTTCAGCTACCTTATTTGCACGTCCACCTCATCCCAGAAATCAAAACTCATATTCCCCAAAACTGATTTACCTAATTCTATGAAGGAGTGATTTGGAGGAATGCTGACAGTTTCTATGAAGTGTGTGTAGCAATCTCCCCAAGGTCTAGCTGTAGGGATGTTTCATGGGAGAGAGTGAGAAGGGCCTTTTCCCTAACCATAGGTGGGGGGAGGGGTGAGATTTGAAAGATACAGAAGTAGTTTTCTATTTCCTTTTTTTGGAGGGTATGGGAGTAGGAGAAATTGGAAAAATAGGCATAAATAGAACGAGCAAAAGGGCTTTGAGGAAAGGCTGTTTTGGAGATGGTACATTTAGTTTCTTTTTTTTTTTTTTTTTTGGTCTTTTTTCCTTTTTATCGGTACCAGGGATCGAACTCACGACTGCCTGCTTGCAAGGCAGGTACTTGTGCCGCTGAGCTAAATCCCCAGCCCCACATTTAGTTTCAGATAACAGTTTGGATTGTTTTGGGATAGTGAAGTGCCAAAATCCTAAAATACAAAACTAGCAAGTAGGGCTGGGGATTTAGCTCAGCAGCACAAGTACCTGCCTTGCAAGCAGGAGGTCGTGAGTTTGATCCCCGGTACCGATAAAAAAGGAAAAAAAAAAAAAAAAAAAAAAAAACCCTAGCAAGTAGATTGCAGTATTTTCACAGTGATTTCTTGAGAATACTGTATTTGAACCTTCTGCATCTCTTCCCCTTTATGTAGATCCTACCGACTTATATCATGCCTAAATTAACCCTTCCATTCCTGCCACAGAGATTTTGTTCACAAGGCTCAAATCAGTCAACCTGCAGGGTTATCCTGCCCAGAGAGGTGATCCAACCAACAAGAAGTCAAAAATCGGCCAACACTAAGCATCAGGACCCTTCCACCCCAAGAGGCCCTTTAAACATTTACCAACAGAAGGCCACCATTTAGGCAGCTCGGCCCTTGCTCCTTTCTCTTGAGAGGCAATCTTCTCTTTCTGCTACTTTTTAACTAATCCTTTTGCCTTATGCCCTGTCACGAACAACTGGTCTTTAATGGGTGTTTGAGGCAAGGATGTAACTCAGTAGTGGAGCGCATAGAATGTGCAAGGCCCTGGGCTATCCAGAACGATGCAAAAATACTGTCATTCACTGTAAAACAAGAAGTCTGCCCAGGCAAGAAGGCACATCCAATCTTCGCTGGCCCTGGGGCTGCTGGAGAGGGCGGAGCCTTCGATGCAGCAGCCCCGCCCCCTGGCGCACCAAACCCCGCCTCTCGCGCGGCGGCGTCGCGGCCCCGCCCCTGCGCGCCGGCGGCCTGCGGATTACTCTGCCTGGGAGGCCATGGCGTGTAAGTGGCGGGGCTGGTTGGCGCGCCCTACGCTGCACGCTGCAAGCGGCCGGAGGGAACTGTGCTGCGCCGCCGGCGGGTCGGCGCGCCTAGCGCCTGTGGCCCGCGGTCTGCGGGTCCCAGGTGTCCCGTCGGGCGGTGGGCCGTGGTGGTGAAGGGCAGCTCGGCGCGCTCCTGGGTCTCCGAGTTCCTCGGAGACGGAGCCGCGGCGAGCGCAGCAGGCCTCACAGAAGCTGACCGGCTGGGGCGGTGTTGTGGGTTGTATGTGGGGTTTTCAAGTTTCGTGACACACATTTCCATCGACCCCCACACAACAGTGCACATGTGATTCTACCTGTCTCACTTCACAGGTCCGGAGTTTGGCTTGACTTTTGCTGTGTATTTGTTTGGAAATTTTGTGTCCTCCCCCCCTCCGCAAGTCTTCTTTCCTTATCTGTAATGTTTATGTGTTTGTTTGAAGGATCTGGTATATTCCTTTAAATGTGTCCCCGTGTCGGTCCCTTATCTGAAGGTGTCACATCTTTTCCTCCTGTTTCATTTTCAATAATGATTAAACTCATTGATAATCATTTCAATAATGATTATCAGGGCAGCCAGGGATGGCAAAATCCATTGAGACTTTCATTTTACAGGTGAGATAAAGAGACTATTGTCTCATCCTCAGCGTGGATCTCCTTAGTAGCAGGATTTCCCTGCTGCGGCACCATGCGGAGTGGGTGATTTGCAGAATGTCCCCAAGTTCCAAACCTGGTTAGGGTGAGGAGAAACCACCAATTTAGCTATGGTATGTGTCCCTTCTCATAAGCATAGGAAGCCCAATTTCTCAGGGACAGGGAAGATCTTTAGTGCATTTGTACGATGTTCTGATGCCAGCTCAAAGTATCCATTTGTCCCTAGATAATGTCAGCTTTTGCTTCTTGTTTACCTGCAGCACTATGGGAAGCTTGGCAGACAGGTTGCAAGTTCAAGCTCAGCCTGGACAATCTAGCAACTTTGTGGTACTTTGTCTCAAAGTAAAAACATAAAAATTGTTAGGATTGTAGATCAGTGGAAGGCCCTTCATTCAATCCCAAATACAAAAATAACAGACAAACTAAATTCAGAAAAAGACCTACAATTAGCTTTTCCCCCAGTATTTAGGATAACTGAGAAACAGGCTATTTATATCTTAATACTTAACACGTGTAACCTTGAACCAGAGCCTTTCATCAAGAGCCCATGTTTTCTTAGTGTTGATAATCTGTCCATTAGATCATGGGTAGTTGTGGCAATCATAAATATCTCCAGACATTGCCAGATGCTGGTCTATTGGAGAACATGGGTCCATCCAAATTTAGTGATGAGGTCTTCTAACAACTGTTTTCTTTTGTCTTTGTTCTTAGCCTTCCGCTTGGCCCTCATCCAGCTTCAGGTTTCTTCGATCAAAGCAGATAATGTCACTCGGGCTTGTAGTTTTATTCGGGAGGCAGCAAAGCAGGGAGCTAAAATAGTTTCTCTGCCTGTAAGTACAGTATTCATCGCTTTCTAGGTCCTTTATACCTAGCAGAATCATGTTTGTTACTTCTAGTTGTCTTGTGTTGTAGGTCCAGCAGTTTCTTTTGGAGCCCCAGGATTGTTTATGTTTGTCTTATCTCTGTCTACCACAGAAACCTTAGCAGAATTCTTTGCTATAGGCTGTATGAATATGGTTACAAGTTTTTAAGATCATTCGGTTCAGATAAGAATTCCTTGCATATTGAGGAACTTACCTCAAGATAAAATGCTCTGCTTGGATACTCACCTAATTCTTTGTATAATTTAGTCCTTGTAAGATGAGAACATGCTGGCGTTAGCACTAAACAGAATTTTAGGCTTTTTAAATGACCAAAAAATTGTGTAGAGACCCTTAGGAAGCCGGTGGCTTCTCAAAGTGAGTAGAATTCTGTCTCTTTTGTCAGTTGTTTCTTGAGCAGTGAAACCAGCTGAAGATTGGCCTATGTTTTTTGTCAGCAAAGGAAAATTTAGCCGCAGAGAGGGCTCCCCAAGTGTCAGGATGGGTGTTTTTTCCCATCTTCTTCAAAAGCCTTTTGGGAGTCAGTAGCTGGGACTATTCCAGGCAATGCCATCTCCAGCTGTGAGGAGGCAGGGTTGGCAGTTGTCTGCTAATGTTGTCCAGCTTGAATGGAGAATTTTCAGGACCAACTTTTTTTTTTTTTTTTTTTTTTAGTTAGTACTCAGCCTGCTGTGGATATGGCTAGTGAATAGGACTCTTTAACAAGAAATTCAAGAACCTACTACTAATCCAGTCTTTTGATGCTGGTTACGGGACTCAACTTGTGCTTGCCTAATCATGGTCCATTGTTGGCTTATGTTACTGTGGGTGAAAGCAAAAAGCCTAGGAATTAAAGTATTTGAATGCTGCACACTTTGACTACAGAGGTACATCTTGTACAAGCTGGTGATCTTTGACCCTGAGTTTCCCAGCACAGTGTGTGGTACATGGGTGACATTGAATCAAAATGAGTAAATAAGAATTGGAATCTTAAAAAAAAAAAGTTAGAAGCTACTGTTTTTTTTCTGTAGGGTTTGTTTTGTTTTTTTTTGGTTTTGTTTTGGTACTGGGAATCAAACTTACAGCCTTGCACTTGCCAGGCAGGTGCTTATGCCACTGAGCTAAATCACTGGCCTTTTCTATAGTTTTGTGATATGTCAGAGAACTTTCAGCACAGCCTTACCAACAATGAATAAGAGACTTTGAGATTAGAATGATAGTGCCAGAGGGAAACGTAAATAGCTTGTTTTTATGTGAAGAAACATCTTAATCGTTATGGCTTTCAAAGCTTTTATATTTTTTATAGACAAGTTTTATAGATTTGCATAGATAACAGTATCATTTTTGTACTTAAGAAGATTTCATCCCAGTTCCCAAAGTCATGGGGTAAGCCGATTTGTAGTGTGGTTTGGGTGCCCAAGGTTGGGGGCTCATTCTGCAAACATGAGTCAGAGGAAAGTGTAGCCTTTTGCCAGGGCACCCAGGATTTGGTGGCGCTCGCATGAACTCCACCCCTAGACCCGCCTGAGGAAGTTGCCTGTTCTGCCTTTGGCCACAGGCTCTGTAGCTTTAGTTTTAGGGTTTTTCTTTGCTGTGTTTTAGTTCCTATGAAAGCAGAACTAAAAATAACAGCTCTGTCTTTTTCAGCAGAACTTTAAATGGGGTGAATGTTTCGGTGCTTTTTTTCCCTCCTTTTTCTCTGCTAACATTGTTCTAGGAATGTTTTAATTCTCCATATGGCACAAAATATTTTCCTGAATATGCGGAGAAAATTCCTGGTGAATCCACACAGAAGCTTTCTGAAGTAGCGAAAGAATGCGGCCTGTATCTCATTGGAGGTAACTTCCTTCCATGTGGTATAACATTCTCAGCCTTAAAAACATTTGAATAATGTTTGTTACATTTAAACTGTGGAACACAATTTAGCCCTTGAAAGGAGAAAATATTCATATCTAGTAATATGGGAAAACCCTAAGGCATACTGAATAAATGGGAAAAAAACTCATTCAAACTCATCCCCTACACAAAAGATAGTAGAATGACACCAAATGACAATGATGATTTTTTTTTCTGGAGGATTAGGAGTACAAAATCGAGTAGAAATGGGGAAAGAGAAATCGTGTCTTTTATTATGTAATATAATATTGAGAAAATTTTTTTTGGTACCGGGAATGGAACTCACCACCTCAGGCTCACCAGGCAGACACTTACGCTGCTGAGGTAAATCCCCAGCCCCGAGAAAAAATTTTTCACGACAACCACATACATACAAATAGCTTTTTTGTGTGTTTTTGAAATACATTTTAAAATATTCTACTTGCTAAAATGTTTTAATATATGTGCCGCCAAAGTGAGCACATCTATTTGCTAAAATAAATATAAGCATACTAGTGTGTGTGGGGAGGGGTTGCACACTTGTAATCCCAGCACTTGGAAGGCTGAGGAGAGAGGATTGCCATGAGTTCGAGACATCCCTGGGCTGCAAAGTGAGTTCCAGGCCAGCGTTAACTACATAGAAGGACCCTGTCTCAAAAGAAAAAAGAGTCTAAAACTGTTCAATATATACAGCAAACAAAATTAATCTTTATATTATGATATGTTAAGGATTAGAAAGTAATAAAAGATAACAAAATAAGAAACAGATAGCTAAACTACATTAAAAAATAGAGAGCCTGTGACTTAAGTCTCATCTTGAGGCCTTTTGGAATACAGTCTTGTTTCAGGGCCTTTTAAATTTAACTTAAGCAACAAGACATTATTTTTGTCTAATGTTACTCAATACTTAAGTGTTGCGCAAGATAATGTCTGAATTTCAGGAATAGTTTGGTTATTTTTTAAATCTGTCTTTGGTGTCTGACTAATGTATTTCATTTGTACTTTAGTGTTTGCCTAGAAAGATCAGATTCAGGAAGAACAAGACTTACATGATACGTGAAAGAATACAATTTATTAGACCTAAAGGACAATTTATCAGTCTTTTATTCAGTTGTCTCTAAATAATTATTATTTGTTATTAATACTGTTTCATGCGCCCATTTCTTTTTGCAATGAAAGGCTCCATTCCTGAGGAGGATGCCGGGAAATTATATAACACCTGTCCTGTGTTTGGGCCTGATGGAACTTTACTAGTAAAACACAGAAAAGTAAGTAGGGAATGTGTAGGTTCATTTCCTCATAAGAATTTGTTTCAATGTTTCCTACCCCCTCTTTTACAGTATTGCACAGGGATCATGTGTTTGATGGGCACAAGTAGCTGTTCTTGGCTACCTGTGATTGCATTTTTATGTAAACACAGATGACTCTTCATGTCATTTTCTGCAAAGGAACAAGCTGCAGGAATTTTTTAAAAGGAGCTCATTGAATGGGCTGAGGGCACATCTTTGCAGCATTAAATACATATACATTTAGGATTGTTAAAATTTCCTGGTGAATCAATCTTTTTATCATGAGATGTCTCTTTTTTCTTATCTTTGTTTTGCTTCATTTTAATTTTATTTCTGCCAATACTGTAGCTGCTTTTTTGTTTCTTGTTATTGTTTGCCGTGTACATGTTACAGCATTTATTTTCAACTTATATATCTGCATTTTAAAGGCTGACAGCACAGAGTTGGGTCATTTTTATTCATATTGACAGTTTCTGCCTTTTAACTGGAGTGGTTCATCTATTGATATTGATGTGGTTAGATTTAGATGTGTAGATGTTTTATTTTTCCCTTTGTTCCTCTTTTCTGTTTTTATTTGGGTGCTGAATATTGAAACCAGGGCCTCATGCATGCTGACTACACCTCTACCACTGAGCTATACTCCCAGCCATGCTTTTTACCTTTCTTTTTTTATTCATTTGTTGTCCTAGGAATTATGATATATATCTTTTCATCCTTATCACTTCATGTGAAATTTTAAAAACTTGAAATAATACAGGTCTGTTTCCTCTCCCCTATTGTTTGTGGGGTTTTTCTATTTTTATTTTTTACTAGCATGTATGTGTAGTGTGTAATGCATGTGTTCCTCATGGAGAGTTGGTCCATGTACATAGCACATCTCAATTCCTTTTATATACTTTTCCCCTCTAATCTCTCTCCCTCCATCTCTTTACACTTTTTTTTTTTCTTTTTATCGGTACCGGGGATTGAACTCACGACCGCCTGCTTGCAAGGCAGGTGCTTATGCCGCTGAGCTAAATCCCCAGTCCCCTGTCCCTCTATCTCTTGATCCGCTTCCCATTTGAAAAGATTGATCTCCCTACCTCCTATTATCTGTCTTTTATTTATATTTTGGGGTAACATCTAAGCTTATATGTCTGATTTATTGCGCTTCACATTATAGTCTCAGGGTGCATCCATTTCCCTAGAAATGACTGAAGTTTATCCTTTTATATAAAGGATAAAATCTATAAAGTTGCATAGAAATACCGTATCTTTATACATTCATCTGTTGATGGACATATAGGCCATTTCCAAGATTTAGCTATTATAAATTACACTGCTATAAACATGAGTACACATGTATCACTGTAATATGGTACCTTTAACTCTTTTTGGAAGATACCTAGAAGGAGAATAGGTTGGTCAAATATAATTTCTAGTTTTAGTTTTTTGAAGAGTCTCCATATTGATTTCCAAATTGGTTGTACCAGTTTGTACACCCACTCACAATAGAAAGGGGTTTCTTTTTCTCTGCAGTCTTGCCAGTGTTTGTTATTGGTTGATTTTCATTCTTTCTTTGTCTCTTTCTTTCTCTCTTTCTTTTTGAGACACGGTCTTGCTATGGCATGTCAGGGTCGCCTTTCAACTTACTTTGTAGCTTTGGCTGGTGTTGAACTCACAGCAGTCTCCCTGCCTCAGCCTCCTGAGTGCTGGGATTATAGGCATGTGCCATCACACCTGGCTGGTTGATTTCTTGATAATAGCCATTCTTTCTGGAGTAAGATGGAATCTCAGTGTTGTTTTAATCTGCATTTTTCTAATAGCCAGCAACATCGAACATTTTTTCATGTATTATTGGCCATTTGTACTTCTTTTGAAAAGTGTCCATTTGTTTTAATTGCCCATTTTTTGGATTTGTCTTTTTTTGGGGGAGTGGTGTAATTCTTTGGAGTTTTTGTATATTCTAGATATTAGTCCTCTGTCTAAGGAAGAGCTGGCAAAAATTTGTTCCCATTCTATATGTAGTCTCCTCCATCTGCTGGTTGTTTCTTTTGCTGTGCAGAAGCTTTTTAAATTGATATTGTCTGGCTTGTTGATTCCTGGTACTATTTATTCTATTGTTGGGGTTCTGTTTAGAAAGTCCTTGCATATGCCTGTGGTAACCCTTGTTCTTTTTTTTTTTTTTTTTACATTTTTTTTTTTTTGTGTGTGTGTTTTTCCTTTTTATTGGTACCAGGGATTGAACTCACGACTGCCTGCTTGCAAGGCAGGCGCTTATGCTGCTGAACTAAATCCCCAGCCCCGTAACTCTTGTTCTTTATGCTGTAGTTGCCATATGGATTCCATATACATCTGGTACAAATCTCTCAAAACAGTAGCTTATTATTTTAATTAGTCATTAAAGTAAGAGCAGAAAAACTTTACTTACCCAGATACTTACCATTGTAAGTATTTTCCTTTATTTCCTAAAGATCCTATTCTGATATCTTTTCTTTCAGGATTACCAGCAACAGTTTTGTAGTGAGGATCTGCTAGCTCTGAATTGTTTTTGCTTAGAAATATATTTTTATTTTGTCTTCATTGTTGCAAGATACTTTTGATGGTATAGAATTGAGTTGACTGATTTTTAAAAAAAAATTTTAGGTGTCTTTTTTTTTTTTAAACATGTTTTATTTTTGAAACAGGTTCTTACTAACTAACTTGCCCAAGCTGAGGCTGAACTTGTGATCCTTCTGCCTCAGTTCCTCCGCCTGCTCCTCCTGAGCCCCCCAGTGTTGAGGATTATAGCAATGTGCCATCAATGATGCCTGACTTGTGGTGATTTTGTTTTGTTTTTGAGACAGGGTCTTGCTATGCAGTTCAGGCTGACCTTGGGCTCACTTTGTAGCCCAGGCTGGTCTCGAACTTGCAATGATGCTCCTGCCTCAACCTTGCGAGTGCTGGGATTATAGCAGTGTGCCACTATGCCTGGCTCTGACTTGTGCTGTTTTAAAATCATGAGTGGTTTTAGAAGTTTACTACATGTAGGCTGGAAATGTAGCCCAGTAATAGAATACTCTGCTTGTATGTGTAAAGTTCTCAATTCAGTCTTCAGCAACACACACTAAGAACACACACATGCAATGTTTTTTTGTTTTGGCTGGGGAGAGGGTTGTCTGTTTTGAGAGAGGGTTTCACTATGCAGTTCAGGCTGACCTTGAATTCACCTTGTGGCCCAGGCTGACATTGCACTCCCACTGATCCTCCTGCCTCAATCTCCCATCTGTTGGGATTGCAGGCATGTGCCACCACACCTGGCTCATGCACACAGTTATTTACCAAATACTTCATGTACATTTCTTGAGATAATTGTGTGATTGTTTTTACTTTATGATGAATTATATTGCTTTTCTAATGTTAAACCACATTTGCTTTCCTTGAATAAATCAAATCAGGAAGTGATGCATTATTTTTATACAATAATGAATTTGACTTGCAAAATTTTACTGGTTTTTACAGGTTTTTTTTTTTTTTTTTTTCTTTTTTTGAGACGGGGTCTTGCTATGTAGTCTAGGCTGGCTTTGAATTTGCAACTATCCTGCCTCAGCCACCCAACCATGCTGGCCTCTTCATCAGTTTTTAAATATTGTTTATTCTCAACTTCTTCTGCCAGTTTGTCAGTTTGGTTCTAATTCAGAGAAATCTTTACTTAGGATTTATAGTGCATTAAAAACAGTGCATTACTTCCCATAATAAACTGGACATTGATTTGCACACTATTGAAAAAGTATTATGAAACCTGTAGCATCATTTCCCCAGTATCCTGTGGTAGAATTTCTGTGATCAGGTGTTTGCTAGCTTGTGGGTGAACTATGGGCAGGATGGAAATAATGTTTGTACAACTGATCATAGGGCATTTCTGTAGCTACCCATGGACAGTCTGCGATTACTGCCAAGAATTGTACTGGGCAAAAAGATAATAACCAAATAAATTATTTGTGATGCAGATCCATCTGTTTGACATTGATGTTCCTGGAAAAATTACATTTCAAGAATCTAAAACACTGAGTCCTGGTGATACTTTCTCCACATTTGACACCCGTATGTACAAGATAAGTTTGCTTCTTCTAGTAATCCCAATGAAAAGGAGCAGATATTCTTTTTTCTTTTATGTTTTTCTCCACCTTTTTCACATAACCTGTTTGAAATGAAGAAGCCAGAGAACAGTCAAAGATGTGGAAAGTTAGGTCCAAATGGAGAATTAAGAGTTTAACATGATTTTACTCTTCCCCTTGGTCATAATCTCCTATGATAGCTTCCAGAGCTTTCCTGTTTAATCATGACTGAACCTTGTACCAGCATAAGGAGCATTCAGTTGAAATGAATTTCTCATCTCTCATCTGATGATGTAAATGATATCTATGTCAGATGAAGTCTTAGTATGTATAGATTGTCTCCATCTGTGGATTCTGTGTTAATTTATATGTTAGTGTTTTGTGATTATTAAGTTATGGAAGATTTATACTACCACACCATGCTACAGAGTTTAACTTTTTATTTGTGCTTTTCTGTTTGGAAACAGCTTACTGCAGAGTGGGCCTGGGCATCTGCTACGACATGCGCTTTGCAGAGGTTGCACAAATCTACGCACAGAGAGGTGAGACATTTCTAATACATATTTGTTTGGAAGTTTGGTTCTGGGCTGGTTATTGTGAGGCTGGAAAGAACTCAACCTAAATTTTGCGCAAATACACAAAAAAGTTTTGCGTGGAGTTACACTCTCTCAAAGTGTAGCTCTTCTACCCCATCTGGCTTCTTAGACTTGTGCTGCATGTGGCTGTGGCTGTTAAGGTTTTGGGAGGCTTCTAATTTAACACATGCTGTGTTGCTAAGCAGAAGCCATGCTTTCAAATGCCCGTCTATCTTTTGAGCCCCTTCTATTAACTGTGTCTGGAGTCCATTGCAGCCTAATAGGAATGATGGTATGTCCTGCCCTCTTGTAGATTTCAGCACTTGGGTATCACTCTGTGATAACTTTAATTCAGATAAAGAGACGTGTGTTAGTGTGTTGAAAATACTCTGAGCCAAGTCAGGCCTGGTTTCAGGTCCTAACTTTTCCCAGCAATTGGCATAATACTTTGGGAAAATCATTTCACCTTTACAGCAGTGTAGTTTTTAGCTCCTTGTAGAAGTGGTATAAGGATTAATGAAAGAGAACTTGCAGAGCCTTTTCTGGGTCACTCATCAAATAGTATCTTTACTGGACTGTGGAAGCTACTTCTGACTTCACTGTTGTGTCACTTCTGACTTGACTGCCTCTCAGCTGAAGGTAGAGTTTCTGAGTTTTGAGTTTAGTAGTCTTTGTTGAGCCTTATCAATAAGCACTGCAGCAACTGCTGTGCCCTTACTTTTAGTTGAAAAGAAAAGTATGATTCTTGAGCTGGGGATGTAGCTCAGTGGCATAAGCACCTGCCTGGCAAGCGCAAGGTTGTGAGTTTGATTCCCCCCCCCCCCGCCCAAAATGTGATTCTTGACTGTACAACTGACCTTATCATGCTGAGAAATTTTTTTAGGGGTTGAGGAGTTTCCTTTTGGTACTGGGAATTGAACTGACAACTTGTGCTTACCAGGCATTAAGAGAAATTTGAATGAGAGTTTTCCACTTTTTTAAAGTGAAGGTACATGTTCTGACTTCAGGCATCAGTCATGCTTTTCTTTCGGCTATGTCTCAACCAATTCAGAGCAATGTCTTAGTGCTGGTGACATTGATAAGGCTGATTGTTTGTGCTTGAAAAGGCTTGAATTTTGTCCTTACTAGATAAAGATTAAAGGGAAGGACTGGTGTCACTGAGTGTTCATCTGCACCCCGTGTTCTTTGGCTTTTCACTCCTCAGGATGCCAGCTCTTGGTGTATCCTGGAGCTTTCAATTTGACCACTGGACCAGCTCACTGGGAGTTGCTTCAACGAGGCCGGTAAGAAAGAAATCAAACATTTCAATTGTTCTTTATGGAAAGATTTGCAGTTTTGTGGAAGTAGCTGCTTTCCTGAAGTAAATCCTCCTTACCTAGCACATCCTGGCATCCAAATGCAGTTGGAAAGGATGAGTCAGGTACAATTGGAACAGATCTGTTCCCAAGACTTCGGAAAACAAAGTACCAATGTCAGGATTTTGAGGACTGTATTTTTTGCATTTTAAAATGCATTCAGTGTGTTACTTTGGCAGTGATATCATTTTTCTGTAATTAGCTGTGGATTGGCCTCTCTTAGGACAGTCACTAGCAACTTTTACAGAGAATCCGCAGATCTAGTGTGTTCAGAGCCTCACAAGCCAAGGAAAAGGCAGATGCTATTTTAGCTTGAGAGCCCTGGGGAGAAATTCGTGGTCTTCATGTAGTTAGTCCAACCATGCAGACTGGTGAGCTTATGTTGCTCCATCTTCCACACATCCTACTAGTTCTGAGGATACTCCACCATGAAATTTACTGTTTGAATGTCTTTTTCTTCTCACCAATCCTTTCTAAATCCAAGGCCTTGCAAAAGTGTCTTGGGTATATATCACAGTTGCTTTTTGCTTAGTTCTCTAGCTGAGGGGCGGTGAAAGACAGAGGTGGGTAGAATAGGAGATAAAGAGTGTGTATGTGTGTAGGGCCTGGGGATTTAGCTCAGCGGCATAAGCGCCTGCCTTGCAAGCAGGTAGTCGTGAGTTCGATCCCTGGTACCGAAAAAAAAGAGTGTGTGTGTGTGTGTGTGTAAAGTGCTCTGCAATGCAATTTTCTTCATGATACTCTTAAAATTCGGGCATAGTGTACTTAAAAGTATACCAATTTTTTTTTTTTTTTGTACCGGGGATCAAACTCATAACCCTATGCTTTTCAGGCAGGTGCTTATGCCACTGAGCTAAATCCCTAGCCCCAAATATGCCAATTTTAAACACATAAGTCAGTGAATTTTTATCATACATATCCACTTCCCACTGAGATCAACAGTAATTTCCAGCCCTCTAAAATACTTTCTTTTCTGCCCCTTCCCAGTCAGTACTGTGCTGTCTTTGCCTAGAGGTGGCCACTATTCTCCTTTGTAAAGATGATGGTAGCTTTTAATGAAAAGAAAGAGGTTTTCAGGGTGGAGGATGGAATAGGGAAATATAGTGCCATGAATATTAATAAGTGTGCAGTCTTATCAAAAATAAGAAAAGCTTGGGAGATACCAAGATAACATGGCAAAAGTTTATCTGTTAAGTCCAGAGCACTCCCAAGAGAGATGTGTCGGTACCTGGGCTGCCACCCAAAATTCCTGTCTGACTTGAGATGGTAGGACTGCCATCATGGGCATGGGAACATGATGCAACTCCCTGAGGTGTGTTGTCCCAGCAAGGCCACTCTATTCTTCTCTAACCTTCTTGACTTTTTTTAACAGGAGAAGCTCTTTTGTCATATAGGTTGGCTTATGCTAGAGTTCCCAGTTGTCCTACTAAAACACTAGACTGGATAATTGTGTGTTTGTACAGGGGATGATGTCCTTTTGCAGTGTAGGATATTTACCAGTGTCTCTGGCCTCTACTGCTGATGTTAGTAGCAACTCCCTAGCTGTGTTAATCAAAAAGTCCCCAGACTTTTTGGTGGACAAAGTTACCTTGAGTTAAGAATCAGTGAGTTATGCAACTAGACCTTTTTTTTTTAAGACAGAGTCTTGCTGTCCTGCTCAGGCTGTTCTTTGGACTTCAAGGCTCAAGTGATCTTTTTGTCTTTTTTTTTTTCTTTGGTCTTTTTCTTTTTTATCAGTACCAGGGATCGAACTCATGACTGCCTGCTTGCAAGGCAGGCGCTTATGCCGCTGAGCTAAATCCCCAGCCCCTCAAGTGATCTTTTTGCCTGAGCTACTCAAGTAGCTGGGATCACAGGCATGTATCACCATGCATTATTTTTTAAAGAGATTTCATGACTTCAGCTTCCACATCTTAGTCTTTTTTCAGAGAAAAATTGTATCTGTACTGATTAATACTTTATTATTTTCCTCTAAGCAATACAACTATTTAGACAGGACTTATATTATTTTATTAAGTAATTTAGAAATGATTTACAGTACAAAAGAGAATATGCATAGGTTATGTGCAAATACCACAGCATTAAATTTTTTAAAAATTTATTTAAAAATATATAACCCAAAAATCGTACATATTTTAAAATACATAAAAATTAAAAGCATACATATTAGTGGGATACCATGCAATGCCCTCATGCATGTTTATATTGAGCAATATTCAAATGGGGTTAGATATGTTTAACTCCTCTCACCAGGGAAAGTGACACATGGCCTAGTCACAGCACTTGGGAGACCAAAGCAAGATTACCTGAGCCCAGGATTATGAGATAAACTTGGACAACAAAGTGACACTTTGTCTCAAAACAAAGAAAAAAACCATATCTCCTGAAACATTGAAACATTTTATCATTTCTTCATGGTGCAACTTTTTTTTTTTTTTGGCATTGAACTTACGACCTCTTGTTTGCCAAGCAGGCACTTAAGCCACAGAGCTAAACCCTCGGCCCGTTGTTTTGTTTTGTTGTGTTTTTGATGGTGCCGGGGATCATGGTGCAACTTTTAAAATCCTTTTCTGTAGCTTTTCAAAATGAACGGTATATTACCATTATCCACAGTCACCATACTGTGTAATAGCACAGCAGAACTTTTTGCTCCTGTCTTGCACTGATCAAACCTTTCCCATCTTGTTGCGCTCTTCACAGCCCCTGCCCTAAGATAACTAACATTCTGTTCTCAAGTTCTGACATCAGCTTTTGCCGATTACACATATATGTAATACTTGGCCTTCTATATCTCACTTTATTTAACATAATGATCTCTAGTTTCGTCCACATTGCTGCAAATGACAGGACTTCATTATATTTTATGGCTGAATAGCATTTCTTTGTATATATGTGCCATATTTTCTTTATTCATCCATGACATTAGCTTGTTTCCATTTCTTGGCAATTCGGGTGAGCATGGGAGTATGTGTCTCTTCAATGGACAGCTTTCATTTCCTTTCGATAAATACCCAGGAGTGGAATTATTGGATCATTTCCTTTTCTCCACATTGTGACCAGGATGTGTGATCTTTTTTCTTTTTGGTACTAGCTGTTCTTACTGAGATGAGGAGATATCTCATCTTTGTGGCTTTCATTTTCATTTCCCAGGTGATTAGTGATGTTGGACATCTTTTACTGTTGGCCATTTATGTTAGTCAACCTCTGTCGGCATGACAAAATACTTGCTATAGGCAGCTTATAAGGAGGAAAAGTTTGTTTCGGCAAATAGTTTCAGTGAGTGGTTGCTTTGCCTTGTTGCTTTGGTCCTGTGATATTGCAGTTCATCATACCTGGAGTTTGTGGAAGAAGAGCTTATTCACATGGTGGCTGAAAAGCAAAAAGAAAGAAGAGGGATTGGGGTCCCAATATCTCCTTTGAGGGCACCCCCTCCCACTAACTTTCCTCCCACTAGGCTCCACTTCTTACAGTTTCCTCCACCTCCAAGTTGTACCATGGCCACTGGCTGTTGCAGGGGCATTCACGATCCAAACTAGTATTATTTGTGTCTTCTTTGAGAAGTGTTTATCTAGAGTTTTCTTTTGCTGGTAGCAGGAACTGGAATCCAGGGCCTTGTGCATGCTGGGCAAGTGCTCTATCAGGTGTTGCATCCCCAGCCCCTGCTGCCCATTTAAATCGGTTTTTGTTTTGTTTGTTTGTTTGTTTTCTCTTGAGTTTTTACAGTCAACTACATATTCTGGTAATTAAGTCCTTGTCAAATAGTGTATATAGTTTGTAAATATATTCCGCTATTCTGTAGGAAGTTTCTTCACTCTGCTGATTACAGTATTTCCTTTGCTGTGCAGGAGCTTTTAGGTTTGTTATAATCTCATTTATCTATTTTTTGTGTTTATTTCCTGTAGTTTTGAAGTCTTGCCCACACCAGTATCCTGAAGTGTTTACCTTATGTTTTCTTCTACTACTGTTTTTATTGTTTCTGTTCTATGTTTTTAAAAGATCTGTAAGGGATAGAAAACTGTTGCATAAATTTAATAAATGGGTTATTTCTTTTCTATCCATTGTCCACAGTGCTGTTGACAATCAGGTGTACGTGGCCACAGCCTCTCCTGCCCGGGATGACAAAGCCTCATATGTGGCCTGGGGACACAGCACCATTGTGAATCCTTGGTAAGTGTGTCTGAATGAAGGTGGGCTCAGTGGAGCTTGGGAGATGACACACGGGCAGCCCCTTTTATCTCCCACTCCCGTTCCCTAAACAACCTGACAGATACTTTTAAAAAGCTTCTACTTGAAAACCATGTGGAAGGAAACTTTTCCTGTTTACCGAGATGAGTGCTAAATGCTCTTCTGCCTGCCCAGGTAACCTGCTTTATCAGTCATACTTGGCTCTTTTAGGGAAATCAAGACACCTGTGATGGCTGGGTGGTTTTAGTTAGAGAAGTTCCTGAACTCTTGGCTTTTGGTTAAAATTTAGCCTATTTTCTAGGGCAGGAATAAGTTAGGGTGAGAACTTTGTTCCCAGCATAATGATAAGAGGAAAAGACAGGATGGGTTCAGTGAGAGAGACTGATTATGTCTCTTGGGTCCAGCATATTATTACTCAGTGAAAGCAGCGTGAAAGTCTTTCCAGAGGAGCATATGGGGATCCCTTATTATGCATACCCGTCAATCCGTGTTTGTAATGTACCTTGTACTTCCAATAGTAACTCAACTTGAACTGAGGGACTTAGCCTCACTAAGCTTAGTTTATAGATGGTAGATTTGGAGCTTACAGAGTTAAAGTGACTAGAACTTGTGTTTGGGTCTATAACTTTGGACTTTAGAACTTTGCTTTAATCTGTACTAATCCTGTTAATGAATGAATATACACATACAGACTGATATATATTTCTATGATTTCTGAGTAAATGGACTAGTAACAAGATTAGAAAGGTTAAACAACACTGTGGAGCCCCAGAAGGTTCACTCTTGTGACATTAAAGTTCTCAAAGTTCCATGTGTGTGCTGGTGAGACCTTGAGAGATGTAACTGATGAAGGATCCTCAGTGACCCTTTTACACGTTAGGGTTTGGAGGGGTGAGCTAGCTTGTGAACTTGCATCCAGTTCTGTCTTGTTATTAGTAATAGGCCTCCTGGCTCTGGCTCTTGTATAGCTCTGCTGCACAGCTAGTTCTGATGGGCTGCTGCAGATTGAGCTTGCTGCTCTGACATGATGTAATTGTTTGTGATCGGCATTATTTCTTCCTCTGCAGGATTTGGGGACTCTGATGTGTTGTGGGTATCTAGGGCTGTGCAGAGAAGGGTCTTTGAATTGACAGATGAACAACAATTAGAAAAAAACAAAAAAGGATTTAGTTTAATGGTGTTAGTATTTGTAGCTCATCTTTGCCAGAAATGTTTGTAACTATCTGGAAAGGGGAACCATTTCTTATATCATGTTGTTATTATTCATTTTACTAGCAATGCTTTTGAACCTTTGCTCTGGGCCAAGAGACTAAGCATAGAAACAGTTTCCCAAATAGGCTTTCCCCTAGAATTTTGTAGGAGAGTTATTTCTGCCAGCATGTAGATCCCCTACCACTTCTACCCATACCCTATAGGTTGAAATCTTTAACTCAAATCTTAAACTAAAACCCATCATAGAGATCTGGGGATCCCAGGTACAAAGAGATCTAGGTAGGAGGGGACTGGCAGGCCCAGCCTTACCACCCTGAAGTTCGGTAGCAGGCTGAATAGATATGAGGAGCAGACGAGACAGCCCTCGGAAAAGGGCTGTGGGCTTTATCAATTAGCAAGTATAAAAGACCACCTGGATGGCTGTCCTTGAACACAGAGCAGTTACCTCCACTTGGGGTAAACCTCACCCTGTCTCCATGTATTGATATGTACAGAACTGGCTAAGCTATTTCCTTTCCCCTTCAATTGGCTCTAGGCAATGCAAATAGGGCTAGCTAAAGTACAGTGTGTAACCTTTGAAACCAGAAGACAGTTGCTGTTCCCTACCTTAGTTTCTCCCTATATGGTTAAGCCCCTCAGAGTGCAGAGTCAGCTTTGGCTCCAGGGCTGTCAACTGGGTTTGAGCCTCAAGATAAGAGGGTGTGACTTCCCAGGACAGAAAAGGTTTGCACATCCCAACTGAAGCACCGGCCTTCTAAACGTTAAATGTCCTTGTCTCTGCATATTGCAGAGGTGCTTTCTAGCTTCCTAGCTAGCCCAGTTCACCATGCTCATGTAATTCCCACCATCCTCACAGTCACTTACCTTCTGGCAACTCCCTTCTTCATGAGTTAATAAAATCTGTGTTAGGCCCAGGGTTGAGGCTCTGTTCCATGAACCCTTATCTGGATCAGACTCAGGGCCCCCGTGGCTGCCTGTAACTATAAATAAGTCTTAGTGTCTTTATTCTTGCCATGGATCACACTGGAGCCGATGTTTCCATTTCAAATATAAACTTCCCAGACCAGGGTAGGATGGGAAAAGGGCCTCTTTAAAGAAGTTAGAGGCTCTGTTTCCGACTGTTTATAACTGTGGAATAGTTACCACTTCCTAGCAATTTGCAGTTTATAAAACATACTCCATGATTATCCTCATTAAGCCACATGGAGGTCTTAATTTCACTGGATAGAGTAGGAAATGGAGATTCTTGATGACTTGCCACAGTTATATATATATAGCTAAACAAAACACAAATTTATATACTTTCCTTCTTGATTTTTGTCCAAAATAGCCTTGAACTTGTAACCCTTCTCCCTCAACCTGCTGTGTCACTAGGATTATAGGAGTGCAACACTATACCCTGTTATCTTTTTGTTTTAGATCTCAGAATCATTTTGGTTTTGTCTTATGAGATGGTAGGGGGAAAATGTAGAGATCTTGAGTATCACCAGACATCAGTGACTCTGCTCATTCTGCTCTGAATCTATTTTAGGGGCGAAGTCATAGCCAGAGCTGGCACTGAAGAAATGGTCCTGTATTCAGATATAGGTAAGATTTGCCCTGGTACAGTTTAGGTCCCTGGTATCTCCACTTTCTGAGGCCAGATTTCATAGCTGTAGAGCTGTGGTTGCTTGGAAGGGCTCCTTTCTGCCACTCCTTATTTATCTTGAGGATATTCAAGGTGTAACTCAGCTTGCACTTTCTTGGTTGTTTTAAAAGTTCTCGGGACCTGTGCCTGGTCATTTGTATGTTAATAGGCAATGTTGTTGAGTCATTTGCTGATATTCTGGTTGTTTTTATAGTTTGGAGGAGCAATTTTCTTGGCTAGGAAGAAGTTGCAAATTATTCATCATCCACTTTCCTGTTTTTACAGATCTGAAGAAGTTGGCTGAAATACGTCAGCAAATCCCAGTTTTAAGACAAAAGCGATCAGATCTCTATGCAGTGGAGCTAAAAAAGCCCCAATGATTATGTTTCCAACATTCATGAAACAGGAAGCTACAAAGAATAATAAACTCCCTATTGAGTCCTTTTTGGGAGTAGGAGGGTTGTGAATCCAGACCTCATACCTGCTGAGCACGTGCTTCTATCTCTGAATTATGCCCCTATTCTCCATTAAATGTATACTTTTTATTTTTCTTCAAATTTTAACTTTTTTTTCTTTTTTTTTTCTGAGGTGGGGTCTAGCTATATAGTGTACTTTGGCTTTGAACTTGCAGCACTCATCCTGCCTCAGCCTCCCAAATGTTGGGGTTATAAGTGTACCCCACCATGCCTGGCTAAATTTTAGCCTTTTCCTACCCAGAGAACTCTGGAGATGACAGAGCCTCAGCATGCTGTCGTTCTTCACGTCATATTAAATAGGACACAGGCCAGTGTTAAAGAGCAGAAAAATGGGGGGCTGGCTCTGCAGTGTCTGCCATTCTTAAGTCACCTCAGAGCAGCTGGTAGAAGTGACGGGTATTAGTACCCTGGTGTTTGACTGACCTAATGCAAATATGTTTATGTAATGAACCTCTTATCCCACTTGCTGGATTTGGAATCCATTATCTGGATAATTTGGTCTGGTCCTAGTCTTTTCCAAGAAGTGCCTTAAAGTTAATGTTTTGGAATCTATAGCTGTGGGGAGCACGGGGAGCACAGTGATTCTTTTTGTTTGCCAGATGAAGTGGCAGCCTCTCCCCTTCTAGCACCCTTTCGGCTCTTCACACTCAAGAAGGAGCCAGTGATTGAAACCCAGGCCTTCTTGGCTTTAGAAGACAAGCTGGGTCAGCAACGAGCTCCTGTGGATGGTATTGGTGAAAGCAACTCAGTATGAACCCACAAAAGATTTTTTCTGGTAGGGTTGTGTCTGAAGATTTCAGGTCTTTCTGCTTTTTAACACTTTATTATTCTGTAAATAACTGCAGAGCCTAATGGTTCTCAGACTTTTTGGTCTTAAAATGTTTTTTGTTTTTTTTTTGTCTTTTTTGTTTTTATCGGTACCAGGGATCGAACTCACAACCAAACACTTGCAAGGCAGGTGCTTATGCCACTGAGCTAAATCCCTAGCCCCCTGGTTTTAAAATGTTTTTGCACAAATAAAAATTAAGAACTTGAATGTGTTTTTGCTTATGTGTCTTATAGCTAGTGGTGAGCTAGTAATTGTTTAGCAGCCAGCTTTCTGAGAAAAAGTCCTGATTTTGTAGTAATATTTGCCAATTTTCACAGTGTTGAAAGTATCAACATGACACCTCTAACAGAGTTGGGAATAGATGCACAGTCAGCTCTGGTGACCCATTGTAATGATGGACCTGGCACACCACTGTTTAAATACAGTAGGTAGACGCCATAGTCATAAAATTTTTAAAAGAAAGATACATGTGCATACATTCTATTAATACTGCATAGAATGAAGACATCATTTAACCTTTATCCTCAGAACAGAATGAAAAACAAGTGACTTGTTAAAAAGTAGGAGTATGGTTTGGCACACTGTGACACATATGTATAACCATAAAACAACTCTGATCGAGATAGTGAACATGTCTGCCACTTTCCAGATTTTCCTTGTGCTCATTTACCTTTCTGCCTACTCTTTTCCAAGGCAGTCACCAGTACTGTCACTGTAGATTAGTTGGTGTTTTCTAGAATTATATAAAAATGGAATCCTTCTGTGTGTGCTTTTTGGTGTTATCTTCTTTGATGTATTATTTGGAGATTTATCTGGAGGAGTACAAGTCCACCGTATGTGGACCACATATGCATATATATCACATTTGTTTACTTGTTAGAGATTTGGATTATTTCTGTTTTTTGGCCATTACAAATGAAGAAGCTGGAAATATTTTTACAAATTCTTCATTTCCTATGGTGGGTTCATACTCACATCTCACTACGAAACTTTTCCAAAATGATTTTGCGGTTTTATATATTGCTTCCAGTAGAGTCCCTGTTGTTTCACATCATTGCCAACATTCAGAACGGTTGGTTAATTTTCCAATTTGGCCATTTTAACAAGCATGTTTGTATTTCTTTAAAGACTAATGATACTGAACATTTTATGTGCTGCTTTATCTTTCTTGGTATAGTGTTATCTTGCCTACATTTTAAATAGATTTTTATTTTGAGTAATAAGGATTCTTTATATTCTCTAGATAAAAGTTCTTTGTCAAGAAATATGTTTTGCAAACATACTTTTCCAATCTGAGAGATAAAAGCCATTTTGTTTTAGGTGTTTTTGGTGCTGGACATTGAGTCCAGGGCCTTGTATGTGCTCTGCCACTTAGCTGCTCCCTCCAGACCACACTGACTTTTTGTGGTTGGCATTGAACATCAGACATCATGTGTGCTAGTTAAAAACTGTTACCATTGGGCTACATTCCTGGCCCTTCATTTTTCAAAAGCAGTGTTTGAAAGAGCAAGTTTTTACTTTTCACAAAGGAGGACTTACTCCTTTTCAAAGAAAAGTTCATACTTTTTATATTGTATTTAAGAAAATTGCCAAAATCAAGGTTACTGAGACTTTATATTTTCTTTTAGGAGGTTTATAGTTTTAGCCCACATTTACGTTTGTAATCCATTTGGAATTAAGTTTTGTATAACTTTGTATAGGTAAAAGCAAGATGATGATGATGTTACTTTGATATTGCGACCCAGTTCTAGCGTTATCGAAGAGTATATGCTGTCCTGGTTAAATTACCCTGACACGTTATAAAAAATGAATTGGCTGGGGATTTAGGTCAGTGGCACAAGCCTCTTGGCAAGTGTGAGATCGTGCATTTGATTCCTGGTACCATCCCCCAAAAAAGAATTGGAGATATATATATATATATATATATATATATATATACATCCAACATATATATGTATGTATGTATGTATGTATATAAAAAATCAGTCTCTGGGCTCTATTCTGGTTCTTTGTATATTGCATTGATCAATATGTATCTTGCTGTGTTTAGTGCAACTATAAGTTCCTTGGAGTCAGTGTCCTCCAACTTTCTTTCAAAATTGTTTTGACTGAGGCCTTTGTATTTCCATATAAATTTCAGAATCCGGTTATACATTTTTGCAAGAACGCGTACACTACTGGTTCATTGGAGCTTTGGGATTGTATGGAATCTATACAGCAGTTTGGCAGAAAATTGACATTTTACTGTGAACCTCTGATCCAGGAGTGATACGTATCTTCTGCTATTTAGGTCTTCTTTAATTAGCTTAGCAGTGCTTGGTATAAAGGAAAGTAAATCCATCATACTCCTTAGAACTACACTTACGTTCATATGCTATATTTATACACTAAAAATTGCTAATGTATTTTATGTATTTTGAACTATATTCTACAACTTTCCTAAATTCATATACTCAGGTTTTTTTCTTTTTTGATAGAGTCCATGCAATTTTTATATAGATAATCATGCCCACAAATAAAGATAATTTATAAAATACAATTTCCTTTTCCAGCCTGGTTTCCTTTTATCTCATTTTTTCCTTACTATGGCATTGACTAGAATCCTCACTATAATGCTAAGTAAAAGTAATGAGTAAATGTGTTTGTGTTGGTCCTGTTCTAAGGGAAAGCATTCTGTGATTTACTGTTTAGTCTTTCATAGAGGCCCTCTTATCAGGTTAGGGGAATTTCCTTGTATTGCTAGGTTGTTGAGAATTTTTATAAAAAACAGATAATGCTTTTTTTTTTTTTTTTTTTTGATACTGGGGATCAGACTCGGGATGTTAAGCTTATCAGGCAGGCACTTGAACTGCTGAGCTAAATTTTTACAGATGACTTTCCTGCCTTTATTGAGACGATTTTTTTCTTTTCTGTTATTTTCTGATAAACCATGTTAAGTTGAAAAATCATTGCAAAAATACATTTAATACATCACTGAACATCATAGCTTAACACAGTACAGTGTAAAATATTGATCGTTTATCCTTGTGGTCATATATCTGACTGAGAACTGTGGCTCCCAGAATCACAAGAGTGCTGTACCAAACACCTTAGTGCAGGAATAGACCAAAATTCAGAATCTGAAATTTAGCTTCTAATGAGTGCATATTTTATACCATCATAATATCAAAACCAATAGCTCCAAAATAATAGTAAGACTCAACGAATAAGCTGGGATGGTGATATATGTGTGTAATACCAGTACTCTGGCAGCCTGATCCAGGAGGGTTGCAAGTTTGAGTTTGACCTGGGCTACGTAGCAATTTAGTGAGACCTAGTCTGCAAAAATAGGGTTAGAATGTAACTCAGAACAAAAGCCCTGATTTCAATCCCCATTACCCATCCACCCCGTCAACAAATGAGATATCAAATTTAAAAGTTTACAGCAAGGGGAAGAATAGAGTGAAAAGAAGATAACAAACAGACTGAAGGGAGAATGTCTTTGCCAGTTATTCTGACAGGATTAATATCCAGTCTACATAAACTCATAAAAAACAACAAAAAGCAATCCAGTCAAGAAGTGAGCACACTGAACCGGCACTTCTCAAGTACAAATTGTTAATAATTACATGAAAACATTTCTTTTTTAGCCATCAGGGAAATTAAAAAAAACTACATTGGGAGTCCATCTCATCACAGTCAAAGTGGCTATTATCATTAAGAATACAAAAAACAATAAATGCTGCTAAGCATGTAGGGGAAAAGGAATTTTCATACACCATTGGTGGGAATGTTCACTAGTACAGTTGCTGTGGAAAACAGTATAGTAGATCCTCCAGAAACAAAACAAGTAATTGGATTACCATATGATCCAGCTATACACTTCCTCAGTATATAGTTGAAATTAAAAGTTGGCATACTGTAGAGATACTTGCATCACCATCTTTACCAAGGCACAATTACCAAGTCGAAGAATCAACCTGAGTGCCTGACTATGGGTGAATGGGTAAGGAAATGAACATGTATACAATACACTGGCCATGAAGAATGAAATGTGATTTACAAGAAAATGGAGCTGAAGATCAATATGTTAAGCAAAACAAGCCAGGTTCAGGAAAACACATATCGTGTGTGTGTGTGTGTGTGTGTGTGTGTGTGTGTGTGTGTGTGTGGTATAATCTAGCAGAAAAAAAAAAAAAAACATGGCAGAATAGAAATTACTGGAGAAAGGAAGGGGAGACAATGGGTAGATATGATCTATGAGCAAAGTATGTTATATGTGTATATGAAAATACCACAATGAGCTGGGGCTTTAGCTCAGCAGTGTAAGTGTCTGCTTGGCAAACTTAAGGTCGTGAGTTCAATCCCGGTATAAAAAATAAAAAGAAAGAAAGAAAAAAGAAAACCACAAATCTTTGATTTTTGTGTAACTGTTAAGTACTAAATTTTTAAAACTCAAGTTGGGACACTATTGTAAATTGTTTAGTGCAAATCAACCTTCTATTCACTAGACAGTAATATAACAAGGTCCTTTAAAAATACACTGTTGGAGACCCAGGTGTGTTGGTGCACACATGTAACCCCAGCACTTGGGAGGCTGAGGCAGGATCAGTTGAGTTCAAGGCCAGCCTGAACTATATAGAATGTGACCCTGCCTCAAGCAACAACAAAAAATATACATATATGCACACGCACATTGTTTGATTTGGTTTGTTAACATTGAAAGAATATTTTTGCATCCATGTTTAAGAAGGATTAGTCTGTATTTTTTACTATCTGACTAATTTGGATCTACTGGCCTTTTGAAATGACTTGAGAACTGTTTACTCCTCAGTAATCTAAAAAAAATTGCATGGTAACTTGTATCTCATCACTGTTAGTTACTCTGGCTAAGGTTTACCAGTATGACTGATTTTTTTTCATGAAACCAAGTTTTGGTTCCATTGAAATTTTAAAAAATATTTTTGGTCTTACAGATCTAATTTATTTCCCTCTTATTCTGGGTTTTACTGGGTATCTGTTTTCTAGTTTATAAAGTGGATACTGAGGGACATGGGTATAGTTCAGTGGCAGATCATTTAATTAGCCTGTGAAAAGGCCTGGGTTTGGAAACAGGTTAGTAATTGGACACCTTTTCTCATTTAGAACATAGGTATTTAGTAATTTAATATTATTGGTTATTGCTCTGTGTACTTAACCTTTGGTATGTTTTCATTTTCAGTTCAAAA